ATTTGCTTGAAATGTTAATGAAAGTAATTCTCCTCTTATTGAGTTTTTATTAACATTTTCACCCCTTATTATGGGCATTGTTAGTCTCTCCAAAAATGGTTTCGGATAATATTTATAAGGGAAAAGACAAAAAAACAACAACAAAAAACAACAACTCTGATATTTCATCAATAGTAAATTTCAGAAACTAAACCGTTTTCCCCTGCTGCTTTTGAGTTAGTTTGGGGAAAACCGCATCCTTTAATTATGACAAAGTATTTTCCATCAAGTTCATAATTATATTTTATTGAGATTTTATTTAGTTGTTAATATAATTGTATTGTTTGTGTTTGATCTTTAAAAGTCTTAAAATGGTGTATAAGGTCGTAATGCTAATCTTTTCAGCTGAATGAGGATTTTCTTCATATTGTTGTTTTATTTTCCTCCACACTTGTTAAGGGGTTAACCTCAGCCAAACATGTTAAAGTGTGTTTCTCTTTTCTTTTATTTCTGTTATTATCAATTGATTTCCGTTCTATAAGTCTTTGTTTCCCTCATTTCTATTTTTTTAAATGATTACAATTTTGGAATAATAATATCTGTTGCGGTCTGGCAAGCCTCATAACCGCCCAATGGGCGGGTTCCCTCGTGACGGATATTAAGATCCGAACCACAACATATGATACATATTATAATTCCGGAATTTCTGGAACGAAAATTATCACAAAGTTTGTCACAGTTTTTTTTCATTGACTTAATTTGTCGGTACCGTTTAGCCTGGCTAAATGGAATACATTTCTACACGACAAAGAATGACATGAGGTAAATTCAATGTAGCATTAGCTTCTTTTTATGGACACAAGCTAGTTTCAAATCTTTTCCAGATTGACATCTAAGAAGCTTACATTTGTTATAGAATAGTTATCATTAAATTTAACAGTGTCGTGATAGTTGTTAATTTCACTAAAATAACAAAAGCACTTCTTCACTGTGGTCCCAAATGTAAAACATGTAATATAGAAATCGTAGCCGTATTGAGTTTTTTTCCAAGTTAATGAACAGCTAAATTGTGTTTAATTGTTTCTTGATTTTTGGTAAATCAAAAAGGCTGAAACTATTTTATCACTATCTGGGACCAATGATTCGTTAATAGAGTAATTTATACCTTTCATTTGATAAATTTCCTCATATATTTCTTTTTTTGAATTGTTGAGCTGGATTATTTTCAAGTATCTCATGATATTTCTTGTTTTCAAGCTGCTTGTGATTTTACAATATACGAGTAGTAAAAACGGTTCATAACAGCAATTACAGAACATGTATCAGCTTTTATATGATGATATTTTTTGTCTTTTTGTAGAGTTTCCTAGGCTTGTAATTTTTTCTGTTTTATTACATACCTATTGCGTGTGCTGTTTGAAAGAATATTACTTCTTATGGCTTCAATATTAAAATCAAGATTTGAATCGTTACTAGAAGGCGGAATAAAAGTAGTGTTGTTTCTTTTACCTTTAAATTTCATAATCATTTGAAGTGATATTTAAATTGTCCTCATTGTTTTTCTCTTTTGCTGCAAGATATTTACAGTACAGTTTACTTGACAGTTTACTTGTAAATTTTAAAACGTCTCTGTTTAAGTTGAAGACTATCATGGGGTTTTAGACATTTACATTTTTGACGAATACGTAGTAGATGTATATCGTTTTGATAAACAATAAATAATTCAATTTGAAAAGAGCATTACATTACTTTATCTGAATAGACACCTGGAAATAAGTGAAGCATACTCGGCATTTTGCTTCAATTTTGACATGACCACAACTGTTTTTTTTGTTTGTTTCTTTTTTGAGGGGGGAACCACCTGTAGTCAACCTGCAACAACTGGAACAACCTCTGCACCAAGAATTGCGGTTACGCTAGATATTAAATTATAAAAAATTGGCTACATAATGTCATTTTAGGTTACATAATCGTCAACATTTACCAAAAAAATTTCACCGGTAATTTTTTTGTAAACGCTCCAAAAACCATACGTATAGACACAATTTTGGTAAAAAAACAAAACAATTGCTTAGGCTTCAATAATTTGGTTAAGAATAAACTAAACTCATATATTTACTGGTTTATGATAACTAAATTGGTATCGCTAGTTATCAAATTTCTATTTCTTAGCTCAATTAAGTCATTTGATGACAATGTTTTCACTCGAAACAAATTTGTTTATTCGTGTGAGAAATGGTTTTTAATTTCAAAATCATCTAAAATTACCACTCGCTTCATGTAATTTATTGAATCTATCTTGGATACCCTTTTTAACATGAAAATCATATGATTTATAATGAATAATATTTTGTGCCCTGTCGTGACTGCAAACGAGCGAATCTAACAACAACAACAACAACAACAACAACACACAAAAAACATATTGTAGTACGTAGCATTTTAAGTTCGTCTTGTCTTTCCAAATCAACCATATTTTTAACGAAACATTATTTATAAACAGTTTGTTTAAATATTGTGATAATTAGAATGAGTTCACATTATGATACGAAATTCTATGTATTTTACTGACACATATGATAACATTTACTGTAAAATACTCCATTACAAATGTGTATTTATCTTTGCGTGTAGGTTATAGGTTATATGCATAGTTTTAAGAAATTAATTTTTCGAGCGAAAAAAAATTACGTACAAATTTAATACATACTGTTGAGTTACAGTACTGTATGGTAAATATTTCGGAAAAAATTAAACAAAATAGAGCAATTTCATTGGCAGACAAACTTTGGCGAACTGTAAAAGTATATAGCATTAGTTAACAAAAGTACCACAGTGAACGAAAAAGGAGACACGCTTGCCGCTAAAAGTATAAAAATTAATAACATTTTAGCCATTGTATATATCCACATATCTGAACAGGCGTTCACACTGCGCCAATTCGCAACAATATTATGTAGTTGAAATTGGGATAGCGTTTCCTTTAATGCTGTACTCATTAGATATTTTAAAAACTTATGAAATGTCTTGAATCACCTCTTGTATCTAAGAGAATTAAAGAATACAAGCACGTTCGGCTCAATGTAATCTTTAATATTTTTCATGCTGACTTCCCTAAATTAAATACAAAAACGGCACGAAGACAGAAATGGTATAGCTGTCATTTTGAAACTATTCTTTTAAAATTGAAACAATATTTATTTTTTGCAGCAGATACATAGCTTTATTAACTTTTTAGTACATACAATTGAAATATTAGTTAGGGTAAGTAAGCCGTCCTACATAATAACTAAACACATCTGCCACAAAGGACATTAGGAGAAGTACCCATCAGGTTCAGAACAAAGAAATATATAATTATTTTCTCGCAGTAATTTTAAAACTACAAATAAATAACCTCAACATATTAATTCATATCATGTAGTGTCGTAACTAAAGAGTTAATATTGCTGTTACAGGTGAACACGTATGTCCATGACGCATCCTTAAAGTTTCTTGATGATTTGAAAAAAAATGAAAATACAACAAATATACTGTACTGCTGTTAGATCGTCTTTCTAATTTGGAATTCCTTTTATACCGATACTTGCAATTTACACGTCACAATTCCGGTATTTGTTTTGAACACCAAAGTATAAAAGAAATAGACCTATAGTGATAATTAACTACCAATTTTGTCCAATAAGACAAATACATATAGTTTTATATTTATCGCCATAAAAGAAAATAGTAATTATATTTTATAAAGAGTACTGTCTCTAATAATCACCAATAACATTGATAGCAAAGTTGAGCTCTCAATTTTTTTAAAATGTAGTTTGGGATATCAGTAGATAGCACGTTTTTATACACGAATATTAATTCATTAAATTGTGATATAATCGCACGAGCAATCCTTCAAAATACTTAAAGCATTGTACTGAATTGCTTAATCTGTACATTTGTGCAAGTATCATCCCTTTGTGATATAATGAATTAAGTAATTATTTGAAAGGAAAAAATACAATTAAAACATCTAAATTAATAGACAAACATCTACCTTAATTTAAGATTTATTTAAAATTAAACAAATGGAAATAAAAATATCAACCAAATAGTTCCACCGGTATATTGTATTTTATTATGTCTGATATATACACAGTATTATGTTTCAGATTGTTCGACGAATTCGTGTAAAACATTTATAATAGTAAACATTATCAATTCATTTCGGAATCAATATAACACTTGACTTCATCCATTGAAGTACATCTTTGTCTCAGTTTAAAGAAATATCATAAGTCACGGACTTGTCTTTCTATGACAGGCTTGTCGTGCTGGTACACGAATCGCTCTCGCACTGCTCTTGGGGCACCTGTCGCATTTCTGTGTTTCTCAGGAAGAACTGCAGTTTCTTTTTTGCGTTTTTTGAGCTTGTGTTTGCTGCAAAAGTTGGAAACATTATATACTTTTCATAACAGATAATGAATTATTTATAAAGTCATTGCTTACTTTTCTCAGAAAAGTTCGTATATTTAATATGTTGGAAGTGTTTGAGCAATATACACTGCAAGTGTGTACTGTAGAGTACATTTTGAACAATGTAGTTTTTCTTAAACTTTGTTGCAATTTTAGAACAAGCACAAATTATACAGGCAATTGTCTGTCATTTCATATCAAAAATATGAGCAATAACATGAATGTCAGAACTCGATCATAAAATAGAAACAACAGCAACACGTAAACAAAAGCTTATTAAAGGAATGCATTTAGATCAGGAAAAGAACGATTCTGTTTATCCTGATAATTTGGCATAAATGTGTTAGGCATGGTGATGATTCTGATGTGTCTCGCATTGGAACTTCAATTCAAAGGTCAAAGTTACGCATCACGATTATGAATAGATTGTCTTCCTTTGCACCGAAATGAATAAGCATATTGAAATGCATACCGTCGCTCTATATCTTTTACAAGCTTTAGATTGAAATGATGACCATTATCATGTTTCTGACAATCAAGTTTTTCTTTAATTAGATATTTACCATTTTTCTCTCATTGTGATAATCAAAAGGATAAGAAGTAATAACAGTAGTCCACCCAGGCTTGCCCCAACTATTTCTCCTGTATTTATCCCATTAATATCAACTGGAAAAGTAAAGTGGAAGCAACAAATAAATATTTTATTTTTTTATATTGCACATAAATAACATTTGCTTAGACGAAGTAGATAAACTATATATCCAGACCCAAAATTATCGCATAATTATATTACAACATTTAAAGGTACAAAACAAACTATTTCGTATTTGTAATTCAAGATTATATACGGCAATATAGTAACTTTAAAATGTTTTGTTGAAAACAATTAAGTTTGAGTTATCATCATTATATTTGTGTTGATTATCACATTGATATTAATATAGAATACAACGGTATTAGTTTAAGTAAAATTAAGTAAGAATTAATGAGGTTCTGAATACATAAATATACCGTTCTTGGGAACATCGCAAGAAAACGATCCATGTTTGTTATGACAAACCAAGGAAGCTTCACATGGCTGACATGAACATTCATCAACATCTTCCTCACAATTGCTGCCCGTCCATCCTTTTGTGCAGTTACAAGAGTAGGATCCATTTGTATTTAAACATGCTCCAGAATTCTTGCATGGATTTTCAAGGCATTCATTTACGTCATCAGAACAGGATGGACCTTGACGACCGACAGGACAAATGCATATGGATAAACGCTTGGTGTTTTGGCATTCAGTTAAACCTCTACAGTGACTTCCATTGCAAGCCCTGACTTCCTTATTGCATTTGATTTCTTCAAACACATCTTTACACACACAAATATGCCCACGGCCGTGTCTTTTGCATACTTGATTCTGTCCGCACGAAGAACTTAACAAAATAAATAATTGTCAAAGCATTAAAAAGAAGACAAAAGAAGAAAAAGAAAATAAGAGAAAATTATTTAAAATTCAAATTGTTCAGCAGTCTACGAATAAACCATACTAACTTACTCATTCTGACAATTGTTTTCACATACATTTCCGAACCATCCTGTGATACATTTTCTATTATTCATGGTATTTTTAATTTCGCAGTGGTTCAATGGACCATTCGCCCAGCCTGGTAAACAGTAACACCTGAAACGAATAGTTTTGTACATTACCGACGTTGACTATGTTATTTTATTTGCAAACGTTTACTGATTAATTGGATTTAATTATCCCAACTGAAAAAAACAGCATTGGTAATGAATAACAGGCCGAGTTTTCAGGTAAATCGAGCTAATTAAAGAAATGATATAACCTGTAACAACCCAAGATAATATACCTGTTTTTTCCAAATAGATTATTTCTTTTTATTCCCATGCTTTTAAACCTAAACAGAATAAATTATTGATCTTTTGTATCAGTCAATGCTTCTGAATTTGTTACTGATAAAGAAATATTATTTCAAAAGTTACCCTGGACTTTTTCTAAGTTTTGTTATATTTACTTCGGGTTCATTATAACAATATGTTTAATACGCCTAAGCCGGTGCGGTGCTAAACACGTTCAATATATTCGAAATTGCGACTTCCAATTATTTTTTATTTGTACCCATTCATGCCATTGCTGCCAAAGAATATACATATTCCAAGATTGTAACTGTTTTGGAAGGCAATTTCTCGTGAATGCCTTACAACTACAGCTATCAATGCATGCGCGTCGAAATATATTTCTTTGCTATTTAAGTTCAGCAGAAGAAAAAAAAAAGTTCAATAAAATATAAGTGGTTATAAGATATTGTTAATTACAAGACCGAATTCTATTTGGACGTGTATACAACTGTCAAGCCTATATTAGATGAAAAGATAGCCGAGTCATATATAGCATATTAACAAAGACAAATATTCGTACTTCCAACTGCCAAATGTATTTTCACAAAAGCCGCGATGGTAACATGGACTTCCATGTTCGCATTCATTGAAATCGTCTTGACAATTGTGACCCTGAAAAAGTAAAGTTTTACTAAAATTCTTAACACACACATACACAAAAATCTCAGTAAATAACTTTTTTTTTTATTTTTTATTCATTCCTGCCTACTGTTTCGAAATATTTTACTTTAACTTCTTTTTATTCAGTCATGTATTTTTTCTCAACTATAGAGAATGCACAATTTTAAATCCGTGCTCACTGCAATATGTTCTCAAATTCGTAAGTACACTTATTTATATTTACATTCTGAATTCTGCATGAGGTAGTTTTGTATCATTTGTATCACTATCGTCCTTGAAACAGGCCCAATCAACCCTGGTCTGAGCTGTTTCAGAAACTTACTGGGTTCAACATAATGTAGCTTGTTAATTCAAATCAGTTTATATATAAATAAGGTAAAGCAACGTTACCTTATAACCGCGACTGCACTGACACGTTTTTCCGTCTGAAGAACATTGCTTTGTTGTAGCATGTGATATTCCCACATTGCATGACATTCGCTGTGGCAAATACTTCCTGTCAAGAAAACACAATATTTCTTTGGCTTTGTTATGAGGTCCTCATCCGAAGACTGACGGAAAGGGCCGAGTAATTGCGATTGCAGTTACTTCACATGAACTATAAATAACTCACTAGACCCTGTGTGATGTATGTAATTATTCATCGGAATAAATCTGTAATTTGCAATTTATAAAAAGAGTGGGACAGTCGTTTTATATTTTTAGGTAGATTAACTTTTAGCCCTAAACATTTTTAAATATCATGTGTTGGTCAATCACCATTATAACGACAAGTTTATTGAAATATATAAAGTCAATTAAAGTCAATTTTACAATGAAAAAATAGCATAATGTCACTTTAAAATGGTATATAAGCTCGTAATGCTAATCTATTCTGCTAAATGAGGATTTTCTTCATATTGTTGTTTTATTCTCTTAAAGCTTGTTTAGGTTTTACCTGAGCAAATCATTAAAAAGTGTTTGTTTTTTCCTTTCTTTTTATTTTCGTCATTATCAATTGATTTCCGTTCTATAAGTTTTATTGGTTTTCCTCATTTCTACTTTTTTAACTGATTCAAATTCTGGAATAATAGTATCTATCATATCTTGCGGTTCGGCAAGCCTCATTACCGCCAAATGGTGGGGTCCCCTCGTGACGGATATTCCAATCCGAACCGTATCATATAACATAACATATATAACATAACATATATATTTTATTCAACATAAAATTGTATACACACAATCTATATTCATACAATTCCGATACTGTGAGTTGAAAGGTGTAATAAGTTGAAGTAAGTTAGCAGAGAAGTTTTGTTGACAAGTATAAACAAAGGTTATGACATCTAACAAAGTCTGCAACAAGATACTTATACATATAAAAAAAACAAATGTACATTAACAAAGTAGAAAAAATATCTGTTAACGTTGCCGAGAAGTATTATTGACAAGTATAAACAAAGGTTACGACAGAGTTTGCATAAACTACTACTTAAACATGTAAGAAACAAATATAAACACATATGATAGATATTATAATTCCGGAATTTCTGGAACGGAAATTATCTTATCATTGTTTGTCACAGTTGTCACAGTTTTCTTTTTCATGACATGATTCGTCGGTACCGTTTAGCCTGGTTAAATGGAATACCTTTCTTACATGACAAAGAATGACATGAGGTAAATTCAATGTAGCAGTAGCTACTTTTTTACTGACACAAGTTAGTTTTTAATTTGACGTTTTTCTTTCTTTTCCAGATCGACATCTAAGAAGCTTACATATGTTTTAGAATAGTTATCAATAAATTTAAAAGTGTCGTGATAGTTGTTAATTTCACTAAAAATGACAAAAGCACTTCTTCACTGTAGTCCAAAAAAAAACATGCAATATTTTGTGCCCTGCCGTGACTGTAAACGAGCGAATCTCACAAAAAAAAAACAACAAAAAACGATAATGTAGTACGTCGCATTTTGTTTTGAGTTTGTCTTTGTCTTGTCTTTCCTAATCTACTATCTTTTTAACAAAACTTTAGTTATAAACAGTTTGTTTAAATATGGTGATAATTAGAATGAGTTCACATTATGATACGAAATTCTATGTACTTTACTGGCACATATGACAACATTTATTGTAAAATATTCCATTGCAAATGTGTATTTCTCTTTGTGTGTAGGTTATAGGTTATATGCATATTTTTAAGAACGAACGAAGTGAAGCAACAGCACTGTATGGTAAATATTTCGGAAAAATTTAAACAAAATAGAGCAATTTCATTGGGAAACAAACTTTGGCGAACTGTAAAAGCATGTAGCATTAGTTAACAAAAGTACCACAGTGAACAAAAAAGGAGACACGCTTACCGCTAAAAGTATAAGAATTAATGGAATTCTAGCCATTGCATATATCCACATGTCTGAACAGGCGTTCATACTGCCAAGTAGCAACAACATTAATTTGGATAGCGTTTTCTTTAATGCTGTACTCCTTAGATATTTTAAAGACTTATGAAATGTTTTGAATCACCTTTTCTATCTAAGATAATTAAAAAATACAAGCACGTTCGTCACAATGTAATCTTTAATATTTTTTATCCTAACTTCCCTAAATTAGATACAAAAACGTGATAGAATTGGTATAGCTATTGTTTGTTTAACTTACTGACTTCAACAATCATTGAATATTTTAAAGACTTAAATACTTAATCAAACATGAAAAAATTATTTCTTTATACACTTGTAATTTAAAATGTCTTTAAAGGGTATAAAGCTATACTAGTAATTGTACGTAAACAGAATAAAATGTTACGGAACAAAATATCATTCTGCTAGTTTATGAAGGGTTTTTATCTGTTTAGCAATGATTGCATGCATGCTACATTCGATTTTAAGGTTATTTACTACATATGTAACTGATTTATTTTATACAATCATTTTGGAAGTATTCTTTTTTATGACATGCTTTTCGGTGGTTTATAGAAATATATCAGTGAAATATAAAACTGATAATTTCACTGTTTGAAACAGTGAAACTATAAATTTGGTAATTTCACTGATTTGAATTTAAACCCCTTAGGTTGTAACAGTGAAATATCAGCGTGCACAGTGCTGGAAACCAACTTAATGACGTCTTAAATGACGCCATGTTGTATTATTATTTGGGGCGCTTTTCATTTAGTATTATATTACAGGGAGACACAGGCAAAATTTTCAACTCTTAGTTTTGAATATTTCATTCATTATTCTGTAAATGCTCTCAAAATGAAAAATGAATGTATTAGACAGTCAAAGGAACAAAACTTTTCTCCATATAAAGAATAAAATGGTTGTTACCTAACTTGACCCGCGTGGGTCAGGTTAGAGCGCTAGGATTATACAAAAGTGAACCACAGTGAACTCTGGAAACGTTAAAAAACATGTCAAATGAATGACTTAGACATTTTTCAATCATACCATATCCACACTGTCTGTTATTGTAACTTCAAGGGTTTGTTCAAGTCTCCTGACTTATTTGCAAACTATTCGGTGATTCTATTTGCGTCTAAATTTTGTTCAACATGTATAGATATTTTTACGCTTTAAACCCAAAATATATAGAATTTAAACAGAAATTCATGCTGAAACTTTAATAAATGTCATTCTAGCATGATTTGAGTGCATTAGATCATTTTAATATGTTTGTCATTATTTTGCCTGAATATCCCTTTAAAATGTCTTGTTAAACGTTTCTTTGTACGGAGCCCCTATTGTGACATTTTCTACAATTTTTTCCCCGGAACTTCATTCGTTTTTACGAAATAATAATTCGTAATTATGAAAGGATAATTCGAAAGAACGAAATATTTATTCGTTTTTACGAAATATTAATTCGCAATTACGAAATATTAATTCTTAAAAACGAAATGTTACTTTGTAATTATCGGACATTTTTTTTTTCTGTTTTGATTTGTCGATATTATTGTGTTTTGAAATAAATTATTATGTTTTTATGATCTCACGGTACAATTCATAAATTGTAAGGAATATACTTTTAAAAAAATTGATTAGATAAGTGGAAATATGGAGCCCCCCGCCCCTTTAGTTTTACTTATGTATAAGATAAAAGAAAGTAATAATATAGCATGTTTCTCTTTAAAGAAACATGTCAGAAAAGATAAATAAGATAGAAAAGATCATAAATCAAAATATTGCTGGTAGGAACATGTATTTGACAGTGGGGGAAAAAGTGGATATTTTGGATAGAGAATGACTTCTCACTTGAAAATCATTTGGTTTGATCCAGGCTTGTAATTGACCACTTTGTGAGATAAGTAGATTCTTTGTCAAACTCACAATGACCTTAAATAAGATTTCGTAAAAACGAATTAATATTACGTAGTTACGAATTTATATTTGATAAAAACGAATTTATATTTTGTAAAAACGAATTAATATTTCGTAAAACGATTTATATTTCGTAATTACGAATAAATATTTCGTATTTACGAATTCATATTTCGTAAAAACGAAACAATAATTCGTAATTACGAATTGATATTTCGTAAAAACGAGTTCAATCCCGCGAAAAAAGTGTAGAAAATATCACCTTATGGACACCGTATCTTTGCATATAATTAAAAGAAAATTTGTTTAGTTTAGCGCAACATCGAAATATATTTCACCTCGTGAACACAAAAAGACTGGTGCTTTACAACACATGTTATTGTAAGCGTTAAAAGTCTAGACCTTGAGCGTTAACCGCTGGTTTGTCTTTTGGATACACAAAACCAAGTCTTGTCACGTGAGAAACACTTATTTCCTCTCTCTGTTCTACCCGTGCATCTAGTACTTGATCTTGATTTTGACCGACCTTTCTTTTACTGTAAAAAAGTAATAAAACTCTCACGTAGTCTCGTACACAATATAATACACGATTTTTTCCCTATATATTTAAGTTAAAATAAAACGTTTGTATTGTGACTCATGAAAGGTAGGGGAGTAGAATCTAGATGACTTCAACCCAGCTTGACCTATGCAGACCTTTATCTAGGAAACAATATTTGCAGAGTCCCAAATTATGTTGTCTTGTTACTCTATTAGAATTTAGTCAGTGTTTACTTAAAAAAATATCAAATCATTAGATTGCATATGATTTGATAAAGTTTTTACGCACATAGATAAATATATTAAATGTTATAGACCATGTACAACAATTTAAAATCAACTTCAATGGTACAGAATCGACAGCCTCCAGGTAACTTACTTTAATTGACGGAGAATACGGCATTGTCTTGCATGGCTTTTTTGTAAGAAAATTGACTTTGCTGAACAACACCATCTATGATTATTCGTCACATTTACTTATACTTACCATTTCTTTTTTGCTGCGTAAATGACGTAAGCAAGAAAGAGCAGAAACAAAAACGAGCCAACACTTGCTGCTATAACCAACATCAGTTTCTTTCTTCCTGTGTCAACCAAAAATATAAACAGTCATGTTAATGCGTAAAAAGTTAAGTAAAACAATAAGTATATCTGCTACGTAATTACAAACAATTTTAAAAATGACAGTTTGAATCAGTGACTAAAATTATACTTTTTCCGACCTTGTCGCTTTTACATATAAAATGTCATTGCGAATTTTGCATCCGATAATGAAGCCATCACATGTATCTTTTGCAACCCTGCACGCCTCTTAACGCGATCTAATATAATTTTTGAAATATTCAAGAGTGAATAAACTAACTGTATTTCATATTTATAAACGTTACTTTCGTATTTATTTGGAATTATTATTTATTTATTTATTATTTTATTTGTTCATATAAATGTTTACATACAAATGTATATATGTATATATATATAAGCAAGGTATATTAAAACAAAATAAATTTGCATATAAATTACCTTCATTATTAGTGGTTTGTTCTTCACAAGAAAAGTTCCCGGGCTTATTCATACAAATTGAGGATATATTGCACGGATTGCTTGCACATTCGTCTAAGTCCACATCGCAATTCATCAAAACAGTTTGGACCTTTCCAACCGTCTTCACATGCGCACGTAAAAGATCCTTCAGTATTAGAGCAAACCTGGCGATCTTTGCATGGATTTTTTGTACACTCATTGACATCTTTGATGCAATTTTCCCCTTCCCAGCCAGTTGTACACATACATTTTAAACCTTTACCTCTTCTTCTACAGTTTTGGTTCCGTCCACACATGGAGCTGATAATGACAAAACAGTTCTTTAATTCTTAATTCATTGTTTTACATCTATATTGATACAAATAGATCTAATGGACATTTGTTAACTATCAGATGAATCAGTTAAACAACCAGATTACAATCAAGAAACTTCATACGTAATGTAGACAGCATCATCACCACCACTGGTACAAAGCGTGTAAGTTGGTTTTTGCCAACTGCCTTTCTCCGCATTGACGAATCAATGCAATGGCCTTTGTCTAAGCCCAAAGATCGCGGAACATTTCAAACAGTGCACTTATCGGAGTTCTTAACCGTCTAATTGTCCTGTAAGGATGATCATTACCAAGGGTTTCATATTCCAAAAAAAATCAAACTATTCCATAGGGATGACATACAACGTTACAACTGACTTTATCCGTATAAAGCTGTCAACAATTTGTGTAGATTTTTAACATTTTAAAAGTTGTATCTTATGTGTTACGGTAAAGTTATATTAGAAATGCTTTATCGTGAAATATAAAATGCATTAGAACTTATTGAAACCTTTGAAACTTTCTAGATTGTCCTCTAGATAGTTCTAGATACACCAAAAGAAGTCTAAGTGCTTTAGACAGAATAATAAAGATATAAGCAAAGAACATATTATAAAACCAGTATGAAATAAAACATGAAACGTACTCAATTAAACATTGGTCTTGGCACAAGTTACCCATCCATCCAGGTATGCACTTCCGGTAATTTATATCCGGACTGGTTTTGTTCTCGCAATGGATATGGAGGCTATTTTTCCAACCTTGTAAGCAGTCGCACCTGGGACAAAATATACTAACAAATGCAATGAAGTTATCACAGTAATTTGCATAGATTACTGCCATTATTGTCCTAAAGAGTCTTCTTTATCTACGAAACCCTAGTAATATAGTTGTATCCGACGTAAAAATATTTAAGCAGTATACAACCTCATCAATATTGCTGCTTGAGCATTCGTCACTTATTTTTTTGGGGTCTCCTTTAACTCTTGGTTAAAGTCGCTGATTTTGGTAACTACGCACAAACTGATTTCACCACTGTCAGTGTAATTTCCGCCAAATATTTTGAATTCTTTTTTCAAGACAGAAATTATCTGGAAGTTCATTAGTTCTACTGAAGTAACCGGAAGTTCCTATCGACACATCACCTTTATAATTGTAAGTGTGTTGTAGCATCAAATAAAATAGAAAAACTTTAACCTGCAAAAATGAATCATTAGCAGTTAGCGAAAGATGGTAGGATTTAGAAAATAACGAAGGAAGACATATGCTCTAACCGTTTGTACTTCCGAATTATTCCGCTTGTCAATTAACGTTAGATATATCATAAGTCAACGTTGTCTAACATTTTAACCATTATTAATATAAGAAACGGTACAAACAAGAAGTGCATATATAATAAAATAAATGATATATGACCTCCAGCAGATATTTTTGCCGCCGTTGCTGTGAAGTATATACTTACTCCCAGCTTCCAAATGTATTGCGGCAATGTCCTCTATGGTAGCACGGGGAACCAACTTCACATTCGTTCACATCCTCCTGGCAGGTGACGCCCTGTTTTTAATGTTATGTCATAGTTTATATAAAACTCTCATTCATATAAATCCGTGAGATTTAGTCTGTTTTACATGGAACAAAATACCGGGTACATGTATATAGAAAAAAATTGTGCGGGCAATATATGCCAGCCGTTCCCCTTTTATTTGATATACTCGGTCTCTTGCATATTTTTTCTCACAAATATATAAAGATTTAGAAATGTATTTTAAAAGAGGTTGACTATAAAACATTTACAGTTACAATTATTTTGATTTTATGGTTCTATACCGTTGATAGCTATTTGTTTTGTTATTTTAATTTTTGATATTGAAATCCCTTAAGAAAGGGCAAAATACGTTACACAAAATTAGTAGGTTAAAACAGTGCTCTCTCGTATCACCAAGTATTAAACACATAATCATTTCTGTAAAAGCATCATTTATATTCCAAATGGATGTTTTACTAACAATTGAGATATTTTATTGTAGGAAAGGATATGTGCTCGTAATATATTTTCTATTAGCGCCAGATTTACATCATCCTATTTACTATCATAACTAAAATCCTGACAACATGCATGACATTATGCCTTGATCCTCACAACAATCACAATACATGCATATATTTAGAACTATACAATTTTATTCAACAAACGTGAAGGCGTAGAACATTACAAAAATCTCACTTTGTTCGAAATTAAGAAAACTGTTTTATGATTGACCAAGTTCTGTATACAAGTTTATTAAAGTTTGCTTTATATGTTTTGTTATAGAATTCAGTTAATATCATTTTGAAAATTATGATAATATTTGGATAAACCTACATAATACCCATGTCGGCAGCGGCACGACTGTCCGTCGGTTGAACATTTTTCACTATGGTAGCACGTCCGATTCCCACACTGTGTTACATTCTTCGTGTTAATATCAATAATTCCCGCCTGAATATTTAAGCTTGAATAACTTAATATCCTAAAAAGTTGTTGCAGGTGTAAGCAAGTAAACTCCGAGAAAATGTACCAGACGGCCCGTGCCAAACATATCATGGGGAAATGAAAAAAAAAAATTTTCCGTCGGGCATATATCATTTACCGATTCACCTAAACAACTCTACATTGACTTATCTTCATTGACATATGTAAATGAAAAAAACCACAACAAAAACAACATCTGATATTTTACTTAATCAGTTTATCAATTAGTTTTTTTAATTATGTTTAAATCTTCATATTTCTAATTATGCTTTAATCCCTCGAAAAATACAAATCTAAATTAAGTAACATATGTAATTGAGCAATGGTAATTACTTTTTTTACCTCAGCTAGTTTTATTAAAGTTAGAAACGACACAAAAAGTAAAGGTTCCATTTTATATTTCACTCTTTCGGTAAGAACACGTCAAAATGAATGTGAGTTTTTCAAACGTTTCGTGCAGACTCTATAATTGTTGACAATAAATCTTCTCTATAAGTAACACCAGTGCCCGAAAGTATTTAAAGAGACGTGGATTTATAACAATGCATGCATAATAACTTTGTTAGCCACTGTAATACCTTCTACTCGTAGAAACCAAACAAGTTAATAAATTTAATAAAGTGTCGTCTGGCTAAAATCATATCATGTCTATAAACCGCTGCGTATTTATTACATTTTGTTTAATATACTCTAAAATTATAATTCGACTACAAACACAGTAAATACAAAGAGATTTGCACTTTCATTGTTGCATACGATAAGATATAAAGCGGAGTAATAACTTATTTTGGTCTGGTCGCACATGGTACTGTTGAATGACAAATTGAAGTGTAAATTAACATATCAAATATATAAAACAACCTGTTACTATAGTTTGCCAGTAAGGGAACATCGGCAGTAAGGAGCCATGTAATCTCTAATAAAGACATATATTCGAATTTTAAAATTAGTGAACCATGCCTATTTGTGAACTTTTAATGCGCTTAAATGTATTAATTCTGATGACTAGCTATAGGACTTCGCCCATTTGATATAGTAATGATTTCATTTTATAAGCTTAGTTTAAGCCTTGTAAGTAATGTTGTTGTTTTCATCCGAAAGTAACATTATATAATCCATTTGAACAAGCTTGTTTTTTTCTTTAGAAACAGCTATTTTTATCCAAATTTTAGCAATTAAGATTTTTCTTATGATTAACATTGGTGTCCAACCTGTTTCTCCATATAAACCATCTAAGTCTAAGGTATCAACTAAGAATGTACAATGAAATATAATTTAGTAGTAATGATTTATTTTATTCCCTGTTGTACATATCAACATTTGTTTTAGAAAAAAAATGAATTAATTTATCTTTAACGAAGCGTTAAGGGCTTCGATCAATTTGATCTGACATTTTCTTGCATTAATCATTGCCATGATAAATATCTGTCTCTTTTATCAAAAAATATTTCAAAATCTAAATGCCCCATATAATTTCTTACCATTCTTCAAGATTAATATATAGTCGATAGTAGATTTGCCTTTTTGGTATTATTTTGGTTTTATTAAACTTGCTTGGTATTATTAATTTTTTGCGTGTTCTCCAACCTTCGAGTGAAGCAGTTTTGTATTATTTTGGAGTGGATTTTATTAACATTTCCATCCCTTATTATGGGCATTACTATTCTCTCCAAAAATGTTTCGGATATTACTTATTAGGGAAAAGACAAAAAACAACAATCCTGAAATTTCATTAATACAAAGTAGTAAGTTTCAGCAATTAAACCGTTTTCCGCTGCTTTTGAGTTAGTTTGGGGAAAACCGCATCCGTTAATTATGACATAGTATTTTCCATCAAGTTCATCATAGTGTGTTTCTCTTTTCTTTTAATTCATTGTTATCAATTGATTTCCGTTCTATGAGTCTTTTGTTTGATTTCCTTATTTCTATTGTTTTAAAATGATTAGAATTATGGAATATCTGTTGCGGTCCGGCAAGCTTCATTATCCCCATTGGGCGTGTTTCCTCGTGACGGATATTCCAATCCGAACCACAACTTATGATAGATATTATAATTCCGGAATTTCTGGAACAAAAAATCTGAAGACAAAGTGATCCCTCGTAAGCATTAATCACAACAAAATTACATGAAAATAGCAGACTCGGTTTAATTGAGTCTGTACATGAGGGATAATGAATATGTGCAACATCATAGTTTGTCACAGTTAATTGTTTAATTGACGTTATTTGTCGGTACCGTTTAGCCTAGCTAAGTGTGAATACCTTTCTACATGACAAAGGATGACATAAGGAAAATTCAATGCATTAGCTTCTTTTTTAAGGACCCAGGTTAGTGTCAATTTGACAGTTTATTTTCTTTTCCAGACTGACATCTATAAAGCTTACATTTGTGTTGGAATAGATATCAATAAATTTAACAGTGTCGTGATAGTTGTTAATTTCGCTAAAAATGACAAAAGCTCTTCTTCACTGTTGTCCCAAATGCAAAACATGTAATATAGAAATAGTAGCGTATTGAATTTGTTCCCAGTTAGTGAACAGCTAATTTGGGTTTAATTGTTTCTAAATTTTAGGTTTATAAAAGCTGGAATTCTTTTATCACTATCTGGAACCAAAGATTCGTTAATTGAGTAACTTATACTTTAGCACAACATGCTTCGTTTTCATTGCATAATTTATTTACAGTGTTTAATCAATTAGAATTATCTATTGGAGACAAATTTAAACTTTTTGATAGTATGGTAGGCTCAGTTTTAAACTATGGTGCTGAAGTTTATGGATATCAAGAAGGAAAAAATATAGAAACGATACATTGTTAATTTCTCAGAAAAGTCTTATGTGTTAAGAAAGCAACAAACCTGGGTGGTCTTTACGGCGAAACCGGTAGACATCCAATGCGAATACATCGTAAATTTATAATGTTAAAATATTGGACAAAATTGATTAGTTTACAAAATGACTGTCTGCTTAAACATATGTATAATGTCTTAAAATTTGATGCAGAAAACGGTCTTTCTTATGGTGGTAACAACTGGGCATGCCAAATTAAACAGATTTTAAATGATATAGGAATGTCGAACATATGGATTAATCAAGAACATATTACAATCAATTTTCAACAAATTAAGAATAGAATATTGGACATTTACAAGCAAGAATGGTATAGCAATATAAGAAATTCTAGTAGACTATCGTCATACAGCATCTATAAACGCTCACTCGAAACTAAAGACTATCTTAATAAAGTTAACATAAACAAATTTCGAATATCACTTACAAAATTTAGATTGTCATCCCATAACCTAGCAATAGAAACGGGGCGATACGAAAACGTAGCGCGAGAAAACAGACTATGTACGAATTGCAATTTAAACGTAATAGAAAATGAATTCCATTTTTTGCTAGTTTGCCAAAATACTATAGTTTACGTCGCAAATATTTAAAACCATATTATTGTCGCTGGCCATCAATTCATAAATTTGAAAAACTAATGTCTACAACAAATACGCAAATGTTGAATAACCTGTCAAAATTTTTCTATTTTTCATTTAAAGAAAGAACTGACAACATTTAGTATATTTTTGACTTTGTCATATATTTTTTTTGTATTTTTCACATGAAAAAAAATGGACAACAGTTATTACTTTACTTGTCAAATTTTTCGTATTTCTCATTTAAAGAAAGAGTTGACAACAATTAGTAGCTTAAATTTATTCAGTTGTCAATTTTTTTGTATTTTTCATCTGAAGAAAAAACTGACAACAATTAGTATCTTGTCAATTTTTTGTATTTTCCATTTTAAGACAGAAATGACAACAGTTAGCATCTTAAATTTATTCAAGTTTTGTAGCACCAAATACAACATTCCAACTTTGTCAAGGTCTTTATATTATTAATGATGTTCTTCCATTGTAAGATAACAGGAACTTAAATTTATTCAAATTTTGTAGCAACAAGAACTTTCTCTGTAAAACATTAAAATTCGTTAAGGTATTTATATTGTATATCATGTTCTTACATTACATGATTGTTTACTGTATTG